CGAAAAAACGCCGCGCTGCCACCGAGCTTTTTTCGGGATTCCGGGCCTCTGGCCACCCCCAAAACAGAAACGACTGCATGTGCCGTACTGTGGATGGGTGCGACATCCTCTTCGCACCACCGAACTCAGAAAACCCCTGGTTTCTGATTATGATTCCCCTGTAGCTGACAACAATCAATGGTTTCAAATGGGTTCAAAGTGGCGCGAACGGAGTTCGTCCATCCACAGTAGCTATGTTCCAAAATCAGAACCTTGGACTGAACACCAAGAGATACCTCTAGGTTTCCCTTCAATACCAGTTCAAAATTTCATTGACAGCCAGGCTTTGGCGGTGAAGAAAACAGCCGAAATAATTAGCCAAGGCTCATTGCAGCCTTGGAGGCGGCGTATGGGAAGCCCGAGGGAATGTGGGTATAACCTGCGCATTGCGAGGGACCGGACCTGCTTTTGAATTGAAAAGGACGCCCACCTGCAATGAAAAACGCGTCAACCAATGGTAACCCCCGAGCTTCTTTGGGGTAGAAGGGGGTGTTCCAGTGGTCGCCCAGTCCGAACTTACAAAAAACAAACCAAAAAAAGAGCGCCACTGAAGCGGCCCGAAGGACTCGCCCCATTGGGATCCGCGTCGCGTGTGCATCGTGCTAAAAAAAAAAGAGGCTCCGCGGGGCCGTCTCCATAGCATCCCACCTCTGACTAAACATGAGGTGCTCAGTTAAACGTGCATGGAAATTAAAGAAAAGGCAATTAGAGGTTGTTCATGCGTGCCATGGTCAAAATCCTGACCCCGTCCCACGCGTCGCGAAGCGTGCGGAAAGGAAGGGTCGACATCTTGACCATCTCCAATAAGAGCAAACAAGCAGCATGCGGCATTTGACTTTGGCACACATGGTCACTTGACCCTGTTGATCATGGCCAACTTTGTCGAGCACGGCTCGACGTGATTGAATTTGGGGGTCTACCAGTTAGAATAGGCCAGGCGCAGTTAGATAAAAGCGCGAAATCTGAAGTCCGAAAATATTCTACCCAAAAATCTCGCGAAGGTAAGGCGCCCCTTGGAAATCCTACCTGCATCAAATCTTATGATAAATATTTTTGAGCATATTTATCGTAACATTTCAGTTGAGTTATTCATTTTGTTCTTCTGATGTTCTAGAGTTGCACAATGCCTACCCCATAGAGAAGACATAACCCCGCTTTTACACTTATTGCATTTAAAATACTCCTTACCATCTTGAAAACGTATTCTGTCTGGTTTTTCTTCATTTTCAAATTCTTCTGGATGTTCCTTTCTTCTTAATCTGTCTTGATGATATAATGTTTGTTCGTGTTGGCTTTTCTTACACAATCTCAATTCATATTTACAGACTTCGCAGTAATAATTTCTTAATTTATATGTTATGGTCGGTTCTTTTACTTCCTTCGCTCTCTCAACCCCTTCCTTTTTACATCTACGATATTCCCTATTGTCTTCAATACATAGAGTACATAATTTATTTGGTTCAGTGAATTCTTCAACAGCTTTTGATTTATTACATCTTGAACAATGTTTGAATACAATTTCCTCCATACTGTATTATGCTCTTATTTCTTTAAATACATTTTACAACAAATAATTACTCATTTTTCAAAATTTGGATATTCCGGAGTTGCGCATGGCCCGCCTTGTAGGATTTTATCTTCAATATATAAAACGCTATACTTACATTATAATTATAACATGTAAGGGTATAAATGTTATAATCATAGTATGGTTATGAAATTAATAATAGCTACCAAAACTTTCATTATCGCTCTTCTTCTTCGCTTTTGTAGAAGTCTTCAGTGCCTAATATATGATAAAACCGGATATGCCATTCTGCTTCTGTTCTAAATGGCATCATTGATAAAAGTGCTCTCATAGCGTCATAATATTGACTTGTCAGTATTTTTCTATCATTAATGTTCATATCATCAATATTATTAATAAACCATAGATGCTTAACCTTATATTCAATATTAAATATGTAAGAATAATCGTAAAATGTTTTTAATTCTAAGTATATTTCATATTCAGATTTTTTACCATCTAAATATTAAGTCAAAGACATTATCCAGAATGGATTTCTTTTTACCTTTTCCCAAGTTGGAAAAGGGTGTTTAATGATATCGTTATACCTGTAAGGACATATATCATAACAGTTATATGACATAATATTCAATCTAATTTCTAATGGTAAATTGTTAAGTTCCATTTCTATTATAATATATATAGTGTTTATTTCTTTAAATACATTTTACAAGAAATATTAAAATATTATTTAAATTATTATCATTTACAGCTACAATTGCACCTAACACAGTAAGGAATAATATTATTCAGTTCGTGCGACAACTCGTTTGATTTACGTTGCGCTGTCAGATTTGTCATTATATTACCGTTTTTAATATCCATAGAAAAACCGCATCCGCAGTAATTACATTGATTAGTGATATTATTTAAAAACCATTGAGCATTTACATAACCTTCTTTAGGTATTGTTCTTTTGGCTTTCCTGTCTTGTTCTTTGTAATTTAATATTTTCCTTTCAAAATAACTCATAATACATTTTTGATTAAATACATCATCAATATCTTTCGTATATTTATAAAATTTGACTTTGTTTAAATCTCTACACCTTGTAATTGCAGTCCATATCCATTCTGGATAATTATTTACCAAAAAATGGTTATAATCAAAAATTGTTATGGTATCATCAATGCTACTGCCTTGGGCAGAATGACAAGTCGAGCAATATGCAAATATGAAATTACTTCTTATTTTATCAACTGGCAAAGACTGTAGAATTTCAGTTTTAACATTTTTCAACGTAAATATTCCATCGCTTCCAATATGAACAATTTTATATTTGAAATTTACATTAAACACTGATGTTTTAGTTGTTGTATATTCTCTACAAATTAAAAATTATCCTACTTCATATTCATCTTTTCTATTTTCTAATTTTCTAATTTCATTTGATACATGTTTACAAGTTGTATTTAAACATGCTATATTATTTTTTGACCCGCTAATATCTGTTGTATATGTAAAATATTTTTCAATAATTGTTTTAGTAGGTAATTTGTAAATAAAAATATCATTGTAAATGTTTTTGAGTTTGATTTTGTCATCTGCATTGCTAAGTCTTTTACATTCTTTCAACAAAATGTTATATTCAAAAATATGATTAACTATATTATCAGTGTATGTTTCATAATCCTGAGTGTTGGTTATTTCTTGAACTGGTTTTAATTGCTTGGCGTCTCCTGTTGCTATTATGATTTTATTGTGTTTGTTCTGTTCTACAAATTGTTTTATTCTCCAGTATGTATTTAAATTACTAAAATAAACTTCATCAAATACTATAACGTCGGAATCTGTAAAATCAAATGGTTCTAATTTAGCATCTCCATAATTTATACCAAAGAATTTATTTATCGTCATTGCTTCTCCTTCAAATGCCTGCAGTAATTTGTTAGTAGGTGTTACAAAAATTACTTTATAACCCTTATCTACCATTTTTTGACATATATAACTTTTGCCAGTGCCGGGCACTTCTCCCCTAATCATCATAATATTGTGCTCTTTAATAATTTCAATAATATTATCTGTGTCATATTCATCTACAATATCAATAGTTTTACTTTCATAAACTGGTATTTGTATTAATTCGTTTTGTGTAATTTCATAATCTACAGTAGGAAATTTAATATATTCGTCGTTTGAAATTCTCCATCCTCCTATTTCATTATTGAAGATTAAAAGCTCTCTTGCTTTTGTTATATCCGATCGCTGTATTACAAATGCATCTGTTTTGACACTGAACACATTAATGCAATTTTGATATAATTTAGAATAATCTTGATACATTCTAAAATTATGATATTGAAGTAGTAATTCTTTTACATACCGAAAAAACCATTCCTTAAGCGTGATGTATCCTTTAAATTAAGTATATAATATGACGCCTGTTCTTCTTCTGCTGTATATTGTTCTTCATCTACTGTAATTTGTTCTGTCGTGAAATGTGTTAATTTATGCATTTTACCTCCATACTCTGCCTGATAGTTTAAAGCTTCCTTAATATTTTTAAACACTGTGCTTTTCTGATCAGTTGCTCCCCCTTTTTCTAAAAGTCCATAATTAACATGTGCGATCAGTTTTTTTATACATTTATCTTCTTCATTGTCTTCGCTAACGTTTGTGTTCCAAAGTTCATTAACAATATTTTTATATTCAACTTTGTGAATAAATGAAGGTTGTTTAAAGTATAAAATATTAATTCGTTCTCTTGTCATGCTATCTAATTGTTTCAAAAATACACCATATATTAAGCAATATTTTTTATTAAATAGCATTCTTCCTGTCCGTTTTAGTATAGTAGTTTTCTTTTCTATATAATATAACGTTAAGTCGTGTAGGTCATAAATATCAGTTGTATCATCAAACGCTCGCCATATGTCGAATTGATTAAATACTGGTATTTCTGATATAGTAATAAACGCATGAGTAAATGCTTTTGATATATCGATTTCGATTTCATTTTTGATATCGCCCCTATCGCACAATAAGCCAGATGGAACAACTGTTCTGGCTTCGTCTAAAATTTGAATATCAATGTCATTATAAAACGATTTATGAGATAATTCAAACAATGACTTATTAAAATTAAACATTGCTTTATTCATATTGTTATATGTGGTTTCATCACATACTGCAATACATCCATCTGCAGAAGCTTTTATTAAATTTTGTGTTTTTATTATATATATTGTTTTGTTAAATTATATTCTTATTTCAGATATAATACCAGCTTGAAATCTAATTCTTGGTTCGTAGCCACTATTAACTAAATTGAAAAATAATTCAGATAACTTATTGTCTTCGGATACTAAATATATCTCTTTTGTTTTTTCATCAACTTTGATATTTAGTATATCGTCAATATTTTTATCATTTTATAAAGCGGTGGTTCCTCTCTTTCATTAATATAGTAGTCGGTTGAAGCTTTGACAGTTGGTATCTTGGTTATTAATTGTTTCTGTTGAATGCTTTTTAAGTCGTGATTCATTGCGTAAATATGACTGTTTTTGACCATTGCATAAAATGGTTTGATGTGCCTACTATTTATATCAGGATCGCATTTGTAAATTAATTTATTGTAACAATCATAAATTCTGCATGGAATTTTAAACTGTTTAAATACAGTCTCCATCTCCTGAATGGTTGCTCCCGTTTCGCCAAAGTTATCTCTACCTATAATTTCAATTACTTTCTGCCTAGTTAGTCTATTACGGGTCCTTTCGTTCATAATTGTGTCACTGTAAAAATCAGTTAATGCATTAATCCAGCATTCGTTTTCAATATAATTACCCTTGCTAATTGCTTTATGTATGGTG